GTAGATTAGCTAGCTAGTTAGCTTACTTAAAGTCCAGATGAAGTGAAAACTGCCTTTAAGATCACATCATCAGTTGTATTGTTCTGCTGTTTAACCATTTATGACAAAAAAATGTACAAAAACTCAATTTATTAGTATTTTATATCAGAATCCAATCATTGTTGTCTTCAACGATGTTGAGGGGCTTTACGTCACCATGAACTAACTGCATTTCAACACAATCTACTCTAATCTCCCATCACTGTACAAAACACAAACTTTACCAGTGATTCGGTGAAACTGCCCCCATCCCGGCAGGAGATGTATGACCATGATACGGACTCTGTCCAGACTGGGACTCCAATGAACAGCGGTCAGACCGGGACTGAATGCAGCATCTGATGCTGACGGGGGACAGTTTGACTGCAGGGAATAAAGGACTGAGGTGGTTTATTGACGGATTTGGCTCCTGCCACCCCGGGGGCTAAGTCAGCTAATGTTAGCTGCACAAGCCCACACGGCAGCTACCGTTAGCAGCAGTTAGCTTCTTTTAGCAACAAGTCCATCAGTAAACTCCATAAATCACCTCGGTACCGCTATCGTCAAACTGTCCTCTCTCTGTCTCGGAGGTTGTGTTAACTGGAAGGCTGCTGAGCCCCGTTCAGTTGCACACCAACGGCAGCTATATTAGCAGTTAGCGCAGAGGCACCAGAGGACTCCTTTTGACTTTGTGTTTAAAGCTCTTGGTTTGTCTGTAAAAAGGATTGGAAACGATTGTGCTCAGCAGCCATCTGCTTCCTGCTTTAGAGGGACCCTCCGCAACCCTGACGGACCTCCGCTGAATGTTAATTAGGAAGGAAGCAAATTGGTGCCCACAAAATGGTCACAGATGGGAGCAGAAAAATCAAGTGAAGTCCAGCTGATATAATGGATTGGAATTATTACTGTTTCTTCCTCCCCGACATTGAGCACCATGTTGGTGGAAATTAGATTTTGTTGAATTATTATCCAGTTTTATTTGTGGTTGAGAACATATAATCTTTTTATTCCACAATCTAATGCTGCTATTTCACATTTTGCCTCCAGAATTACACATATGCAGTTTATTTATCCATTATATAGATCATTTTATGAGTTCATACTAGCAAGTGCAAACTAAGATTGAAAGGGATGAAGCTGCACTATTTCAGCATAAATGTCTTTTACAGGAAAAGATCATTTATGGAAACCATACAACCTATTTTACTACTATTAATAATTACCTTTAATAACATTAATGAATGTACAGCTTAATACATTTAAATAAATAATTAAAAAACACGACACTGTAATGGTAAAATAACAGAAGCTTTGTAACTGCATTTAGTTTTAACTCCTGTAATATACTGGAGCTACAGTGGTTTAGTCCAGTTAAAGTCATCAAATAAATCTGATAATTGGAGGAAATAAGAAAAAAGGAAAATTTTCTTAAAAGATTTGTTTTTTTATTTTCATGAAGAAAATTACAGAAACATTCCTGATTAATAACTTTTTACTAGATATTTTGTTTTCACAGTACAAATAAAAATTACAAAATTAAGTCAGTGTCACTTAACATTAATAAAGCTGCTTAATCAAAAGTTTTCTAAAGTTACGAAATAAAGTTACTTTTAGTTAAAATTCTTGATGTAGTTTTAACAATTTGTTTTAGCTAAATTAATGTATCTGGTTTTACAGTGTAGAGTCAAAAGATCTGGTAGTTACTGCTACTCGACTACGCTAACGTTAGGCTTCATGACTGGATTTAGCTTCTGCCTCATACGTACATACAATAAACAGGAATTATAAAACGTATTCATGCTAATTATGCTAACTGTCCAACATATGTGTGGACTGGTCAAGAATGATGAGACCGAACACAAATAAAATTATTTTTGTGGGTTTTTATTCCCCGACTGAGCTTAATAAAGAACAGCGTTAATACTGTATAGAATTTAGGACAGTTATAGTTACAACAAAACAAAATGATTACTCTTCCCTATTTCCTTATTTGACATCAACCATCAGCTTTAACAGTTCTCCTTGGCACCTTGATTGAACAATAGTGTAATGTGGCGCTACCCCCAGCTACAGTGTAACTATGCTCAAACATACCGCCTCAACTGCATTAAACTGAACTTCAGTCATTAGGGCTAACTCTAGACAACAGTAGTGCCAGTCCTCTCTAAATAAGAAAATAAAAACATTTGTTAAGTACATTTGTTACTTCAAAATAAAATAATTCAATTCCATGAGAAATATAAAAATACATTCATAACAAAATATTCTCTTACAATACATTCGTACAATTCAGAAACAATTCTCAGAGAAATATAAAATTAACTCACTTTCACTCCAGTGTGCGGCCTGTGCTCCAAGACACACACACCTGGAATTCAACACGCATATCTCCCCTCTAAATTAGGCAGAAAACATACAAATGGTAGCTTATTTAACAGTCAGCATACATTATTATGAGATAATTCTGCTTATACATGTACTTTAGCATTACTCACGCTAACCCCGCTGTTCAGTGTTGCCCTCAGCGTGGCGGAGATACTCATTTACAGATCTACAGAAATCGTCAGGAATACAAAATCATCATTAATCAAACTTAAGTCTTCTAACTTAATCATTATCTCATCTGCTGACACTTTCATATTTTACCGAAATTGATAGGGATATTTACCTTTCACATAAACAAAGATACATACCACGGCAGTCCTCCTGGTACTGCCACTTCCTTGTTATTAGAGTCTCGGCAAACTATGCGCTCGCGCACGATTTACCTTACACGCTACACATAGCATAACAATGCCCCCTTGAGGGAAAAGGAACGCTACTACAGTACTAATCCCGCAAGTCAACTACATAACACTTTTTAAGGAGAAAACTCCTGTGTAACCCTTGTATAACACATGTTCACCTGGATACACAGATGTTTTCTGATAGTTCAGCTGTTTGTGTCTCTGATGGCAGGTTGAAGTTCTGAATCCTGATGACAGTCCTGCACAAGGTATTACAGTGGTAGTCGACCCTGGCCAAGTCATGGGCTTGACTGCTCCCAATGGCATGGCAAGGCTTACCATCAACACAGACACACAGACTACAAAACTGACAGTCACCGTAAGTCTTTTTTTTACCTTTCTTCTATGCATTGGAGCTCATTTTGCCAGTGGAAGCTATTCCTTACCTCTTTGTTATGGTTCAGCTGCTCAAACATTTACAGTGCAGCGTGTGAGCATTTTCAAGTCAAAGAGCAATATCTTTCTAAACAGCCGATTGATATCCTAAACAGAGGAGAGTGAATACTGGACTCAAATCTGACAGGTGGCCATAAACAGGACTCTAAATTAATGCTGATGTTGTTATTTTTGATAACTTGTTAGCCATACCAACTTCATAAGTGAATGATACAATAACAGTACAGGACAGTGACTTTAGGGGGCATGGCCTGTCCGTTTTAACACCAGCATTGAGGTGTTTAATCATAGTATAGTCATAATAATTCACTTTAAAACACATTTTTCACGGGTGAAGTAACCTCTTAAACCTAGGTTTATCTTTAGTCAGTAATATTAGTTACTTGAAAGTGCTTTAACTTGTTAACATACTCAATTTAATGGAAACATTTAATACGGCACTGAAATTGAACAATGTAACGTACCATAGTCTACAGACATGTTGAATGTGGCAACAAAGCTTTTTGTTATTCTATGTTTAGCTATTATGTGAAAATATGTCAGTTTATCAGTGTTTTATGACTATTAAGAGATTTTATATTGCTAGGTCAAGCTATACCAGGCAAGGTGATTTTTTTGTATTTAACTGTTCGAGTATGCTTGCCTGTTTCTTTAATTGCAGGCAAAGACCAGAGATCCTCGTATTACTATACCTGAAAGACAAGCATCAGCCTCCATGGATGCTGTCCCATATGAATCCAGAAACAAAAACTACATTCATATAGGTGAGGAACATCCTAAAATAACATCAGACGGTCAAAAAAAAAGGTGGCAGTGGCAAAGTGTGTGCCATGCACTACATCTTTTCAGTGTCTAGCATTCATCACAACATGTCCTTTTTGCAGGTGTGGATGCAGCTGAGCTCAATTTAGGAGAAAACCTGAGAATCAACCTCAACCTCAAGCAGCAAAGTCAAAACAATGACATCACATACCTGGTGAGAGAGGTTTTACACCTGCATATATATAACTATTTTTGTTGTGACCCACAGGTTGGGTGGTATATTTTCATTATAAGTGCTGATGTGTACATTTGTGTACCCAGATCTTGAGCAGAGGTCAGCTGGTGAAATATAACCGTTACAGGATGAGACAAGGCCAAGTACTGATTTCCCTGTCAGTTCTCATTACCAAAGAAATGCTGCCATC